TACAATTTATCATGAGTAAAATGCTGACTGATGTTTTTCATACTAATTGTTATTCCTCATTTATACACTGAATTGACAACGGATTTTCCTGTTTAAGACCATGCCAAGGAGCAGACGGTAAACATGGTCAGTCGGCAGAGAATGCTCACATCTCCATAGCACCAAGCCTACCTCTGACGTTTTGTGTCCATGTTTGCTCAGCTCCTGTTTTATATTGTTTTATGGACTTTATATTGTAATCTTAAGTGTCTGTCATTTAGTGAGATCAATGCTCTAATTCATCATAATAGTAAAAATACCTTTTTAGCCAATTATTCCGATATTTAAATGTTTAAATAAAAAAAACACCATGTGATGAACATATAAAAATAATCATTTAAGTTTCAATGTCAACTGCAAATTAAGGAGTGGATGCTTCAGTCGCTGGTTCGAGTCTCATTGTGGGACGTGAGAACTGGTCCTTCGGATGAGACCGTATAAACTGAGGCCACGTGTCGCAATAGGTGCTGGCACGAACAAATCCCTCTCTGCTCATGATTAATGGTCCAGATTGCCGAATATAGGATATATTTTGCTGCTGTCAATTGGCAAATGATTGAGTCTCAAAAGGAGTGAAAATTCTCAAGATGGATGTTAAACAATATAAAATCAATTAATCTATGTTAACTACTGTCTTCAGTCGTCAATGTTGTTTTGCTGCTACACATGCATGTCTTAGTTTTAGAAAAGGACCTAAAAGAACAACGTTCAATTTTGTCTTATTTAGCCCTGTGAATTTCAGAGAAAAAAAAAGAAACTGCATAGTTTTAGATAACAATGCATTGATAAATCATTTAGATCTTTTGTGACTGCGTGTCTATCAAAAATGACGTAATTGTCTGGCTTGTCAATGCATTATGTCGTCATGAAATGCGCCAATTTCCTCATATTCTAAAAAAAGTCTACAAAACGGCGACTTTTCAAAGCTATTTTTCGATATTTGATTTAGAGCACAACCTCTGATCTAAAATGTGCAATTATGAAAAGATAAAACTGTTTCTGGGGATTAAAAGACATGTTTTATTTTTTAGAGTGGAGAGTGCGCTCATATTATTGTTCTTTATTGAAAGTACTCAATTACACCTGTTAACCTTAAAATTCAAGAACATTGCAACTTCATTAAATCAGTTCCGAAAGACTTGGACTTTTAGGCAAATTTTTAATAGGATTGATTGTATATTGTTTAACGTTCCTCTCGAGAATTTTTCACTCATATGGAGACGTCTTCGTATGCCGGCGAAGGGCTTCAAATTTTTTACCTTTACTCGGCACTCAGGGCCACTGTAGTAGTGAGGGATCTTTATCGTGCCAACGCCTGCCGCTGACACGGGGCCTCGGTTTTTAAGGTTTCATCCGAAGGAACCTTTTCAATAGGATATGAAAGCACCAAGTCTCTATTTTATTTTAGTACTTCAAATGAAAAATCAAGTGTTGACCAATCAATTGGTTTATCTATAAGGCCATTTTATGCATAAAGTGAATCGACCTCTTTTACTACTCAAAATCTTTTCAGAGGTATTTCATGGATAAAAATTAATGCATGGAAGAAAATGAAACATGTAAAGGTATAGTGCATCATATGCAATCATTCCAAGCCTTTAAATGTAAGAGTTTTATACTTAAGGTAAAGGTATAGTGTATCATAAGCAATCATTCCAAGCCTAAAAATGTTAGCTAAATCAATTCACCTGATTCTGCTTGCAATCTGTAATAATCTGTTGACCTAGCAATGGCGTCGCTGTATGATGTTGCCCCTAGTGGCCCCCAGTCATCTATCAATCCATCATGTCTCAAACGGTTGTAAACAGGCAGAAGGCCCTTTTTCGCATAATAAGACTGAAAGTACTCGTGTTCAGATCCAAGAATACGCCGCTTTTCACTATGCCTACAAAAGGAGTTGCTATAAAATAGCCTGTTTTCTTGTCAAGATTTTAATTTTTCATGACTCAGATTACTTTTAATAAAAATACTTTTAAAAAAGAGGTTTCTGTCAATTTGATGCATAGGGCATCTATATGCTATATATCGATAAATTAAGTAGCATTCAAAACCGATTCTAATGCAGATTACTTCAAATTCCTTTTCACACCCACACCCACACTGACATATACACAAGAGCATTATTACATTGTATTTCCACTCCAACGTATAGTAAAATGGGTGCATGCAATCGAAGTGTCATACCCAAGACTATATAATACTATAAAGCTTGGGACATTCATTTCATGTTCAACAGAATTTTATACTAAAGATAAAACCATTAGAAGATACATGTAGCTATAAATTATTCACTTTAAATATCATAATTTCATCAACATTCTGCAGTAATTCATTTTTTTTTTTATACTTTCTTAACATTCTACGAAAAACTTTGAGCTTCTATAGTTACAGAAAATGTTGTATGTTCTCTTGTATGCCATAGGCAAGTGATTTATAAAACGCGTTAATGCTTTAGGTGCAGAAAAAACGTAAAAGAGCATCGTTGACATTAAAAGGTAAATCTGTATAGACATTAACTTGTATTATCTATAAAGACATTACGTTATATAATCCATACAGACATTACGTTATATAATCTCTACAGACATTACGTTATATAATCTCTACAGACATTACGTTACATGAATTTAAAATAAAACTAATTCAGCAATTCTTTGCTGTCACACCTGATTACTGTATGGCTGTCTTGGTCACAAGTAAGGTCTTTAGACACGTGACTTCTGATCTTCTCCGAGAGTAGTGTACCTTGGAAAAATAATTATTACAAAAATAAAAATCTATAGAAATATGCACTGGAACTTCAAAAGTATATGAACTTAAATAAAATCATTGTGAAGCAGTACTGTTAAGACATAGGAGGAGAGTGGGTGCAGGACAGGATTTTTACGGGAAATACTTAGTGTGACTTCAGGCAAAAAATACAATATCCAGACACTACAAGGAAATAGAATAATTAGCAATTTAAATTGTACAAGACTAATGAACTAGTGTAATGAACTGCACCAAATTTAATCACAGAATATATTTTTGTCTAAAATATCATCTTAAAGCTTAAAGACTTACGACATATCAACTTTATACACAACCATTTCCCACGATAAATTGAAGTCCGAGCTTTTTTATATCAAAGTCAGCTGCTTTTTAAATGAAAACGGAACTCCAGTTTATTTTGACATTTAATATGCGTTTAACTATGAATACATTTAAAGATAAGTTATATTAATAGTAACATGTCAAAAGTGAGTTGTCTCTCACAAAGTTTTACTTACCATAGCTTGACATCGGTCATTTGCATAATTATTTTGGTAAAATCATTCTGATTGTGTATACTAGTTGACATAATAAAAATGCTTTACTCTCTGATTGACATTATCTATGTTGTTTTGGAGAACAGGTCTTTCAACAAACTGTTGAAATTAAAATTCCCATGGGTACCAATTGCGCCTTATTATTAGCAGACCTATTTTTGTATTTTAATGTAGCAGAATTTGTCCAAAGTCTTGTAAGTAAAAAGAAAAAAAAAACTTGGTGTGAACTTCAACTCAACATTTAGATATATCGACTAAGTATTGTCAATTTACAATTGTAATTTCTATTGTTATGTCGATTCGATATATTCTAGTAAGCTTGAGATATAAGATATCACAGAATCTGACACATTTGTTTCATATTAAGATATTTTATTTGAAAAAGATGTTACTGGAAACGTAATGACTTTAACTTTACAATCATCAACTTCCCTTACTTATGCAGCAATATACATTTATCACCTGCATACGGAGTTCATATATGTCATTTGACTCGATACGCAAGAGCATGCTCTAGGTATAAACAATTTCTAAAACGAGGTAAATTAATGACAAACACGTTAATGAAGAAAGAATATCAGCAGTTTCTTTTAAAGTCATAAGGTTCTATGGTCGATTCGATGACCTTGTCAGCAAAAACAATTTAACACTGAGTCAAATGCTGTCTGACGTTCTTCATACTAATTTTTAGTCCATTATTTATACAGTAAATTGACGACGGATGTTTCCGTTATCTCCCGATCATGACAAGAAATACACAGCGGTTTTGTCCGGGTGTTGATTTTTTAAAGGAATTTTGATCTTGAATAATGTTCGTTTTCTCCATATCTTTCATCAAAGAAAACTTCAAGCTTTATTGATGATTCAGGGATATCAATGGTTTAATTGAAAAAAAATATTTTCCTATTATTGCATTTTTAAAATTGAACTTGTAATTTTTGCACTTCTTTTGTAATAAAAATGATTTCCTCTCCATATCTTTCCTTTATTTGTTATGAAGATCAACAGAACTGATAATTCACGATGCAAAGCAGTTAAATAAAAAATGTTAATACAATTCAAATGACTTTAATTTTCAAGCTTTAAATTATTTGAAATTTTCAAAGTAAAGAGTATAATCATGGCTGAACTTATATCTTTGCAAGGGTAATTTAGATAAAAAGTTCGTGGACAATGACGTTTTTGTCAAAATAAATTCTTCTATTTGTATCTTTTATATATCAAAATATTTCTTATGAAAACCAAAGTCAGAATGGTTTACTTTTTATGGATGGAACTTAATATTTTTGTAAAAATCGAGGTCTTTAAACATCGCAGATTGCGCGTACGGACCAGTCTGACGTTAGGATAATTTCATTATAACGTTAAACATTTGGACTTTGACTTCACACAGTCATGTTCATGGACACACGCTACATTTCTTTTATAGGGCGCAATGCACTTCAATTAACAATAATATAATGATTATAATTTATTGAATTTTTAATTTCCAAAACAATGAAAAATTACAAGTGTCATCTAAATTTTGTATACACAGACTACAGTAGACGCTGCACTAGTTTATAAAACGTCATGAATAGATTATTATACATTATATAATTTGTTTTTCAGTTTCTGTAGAATATATAAGATAATTGTTTCAAAAAAATTGCATTTAGTTTCTTAATGAATATGACCATTAGATGGCTTACTTAAAAGCATTTCCTTAATGAGAATTTGACAACACAAATTTTCTTGTCTGAAAAAAAAAGAAATTAAACAACAATTGTTTACTTTAAATTTGTATTCATAAAGTGTATTTTTTTCTTTATTATTCAGCTTAATATTTACAGAAGACGGTGTAGCTATATATTTTAAAGCTAGAATACTGGAAGAAATTTGTAAGTACAGTTGTTTGGTATTTTCTTGAGAGAAGATCACGATTTAATCATCATATGTAAAATTTGAACAAATAAGTAATGGAAGGTGAGATTCAGAAGCCTTATCAATTACTTAAAGTATTCTAGATGCAGCTAGAACCATCTGAATAGCATTATAAATTAAATATTCCAAAACCACATGAGTTCGAAATTCGGCCGCGACCTTAGTACTTCAGTTGATAAGACAGTAAAAATTGTTTAGCACGAACACAGATATTGCGACTTCACTGATATGAAGCGAATTTACCTTGAATCCACACCTATGTAAAACTTAATGAAATCCTTATATGGATATAACCAATTACGGTTATAGTGAGGTAATTTCCTAGGTCCAAGTGACTTCGTTATAACCGACTATTACTGAAACAGATAGCCATTGTTCCTTTGCCTCTTGCTCGGAACTTTGACGTGAAAGTTACGGGTCCTTAAAAAGACCTTAAAATAAAGACCTGGTGTCATGCATGCATCGACACGGAAGATATACACTGCTGAATGACCCTGAGTGCCATGTAAAGGTTAAATAATGGTCACAAATAGGATGTTAAACAGCATACAATCAATCAAAAAATTACAATCCATTGTTCTCTTATCTTTACCCCAAATACATGTAGTCATATAATACAGAATGTACACGAGTAATAAAATTAAATAATTGATCTATATGAACTTCAAGTTGTTTTGTTTATCTTAAACTTGCAAACTCAATAGATTATTTAATTTTTTTATATTGTGATCCCAGAGACAGACATTTTGTTTTATTTACATTAAAAGCCAAGACACACAAATACATTATTTTGATATGTATCGTACCTGTATGCAGAGTTCCAAAATCCAATAAAATATTATCAAATAGTTTTACGGAGCGGACTTTTCAGTACTTAACTTTCATTAAAAAACCATAGAGAAATAGATTCAATGATTTCTTGTATTTAGAGTGCAGTGCGATCATTTCTGAAATGAAGTAAATAAAATACACGTCACCTTTTGTAGTTGTCCAGGATCTCTCTGATCAAGCAGTGTTGAGGTTTTACTTTTATACATAAATATTGTAATGGATATCGAAAAAAACATGTCATACAATATTTTTAAAGAGTAAAACGCGCTATCTACACTTAAGAGGAAATGTAAAACTGTTTATACCTATGAATTCTACGATAATTTATCTACACAACCATATCTGTTTTGTCTTTATTTACTTTTATCTCATTAAAATGCATGTATGTCATATATGGTAAGTAAAACTGTACCAAAGAATACACCTTTCAAAGAATTATTTTAAAGAATCGAATTTGATTGGCTAAAAATAAAATATTCTAAAATTACTTTATAAAAACATCGTAGAGTTTTATAAAAAAGACACTATGACATTTTATTAATGCAATGTAATATTTAAAATCTGGGATTGGATTTTTAAACCCACGCATTCTTTATTTTTTCTCTTTGCCCGAGATTACAACATCCAATTCTATGGATAACACCTGTCATACAGTGTTTTAAAAGAGTAAATATAATTGTTTACGTAATAGAGTAATAAGCTATAACTTAACTTGAATTCTATAATACTGTACGACGTGAAACATAATACTGTACGACGTGAAACATATCTTTGTCAATTTATTGAAGTATCAGTATAAAATTATGCATGTGTCGCATATCATGCATGTCCAGTATTTCATTTCAATACACCTTTCAAAGATTGTCATTAACTGAAAATAACTGCAACAAATATACACAATATAGTAACATTTAGCATTTATCGAACAATGAGGCCGGGACTAAAATATAAATTTGTTTGTTTTCTTTTGCCTTCGGCATATTGAAAATGCATTCATCCTAAACGTTTTAAGCCATTCCGATCATCATTGTTTTATCAAACACCAAACAATAACCATCAAGTTTGAAAGTGAATAGGCATCTTATTTATCTCTCTTTGGCCATTTTGGGGCACTGACTGATTAATTGTATATATATATTGTTTAACGTCCCTCTCGATTTTTTTGTCATTTTTTCACATATATTGAGATTCCACAACTTGCCAGTGAAGAGCTGGAAAAGTGTCCTAAACTTGGAACTTAGGGCCTATGAGCATTGAGGGATCTTTATCATACTATCACCTACTGCAACACGGAACCTGTTTTACGGTCTCATCCATATCTCACAATGAAATTTGAACCCACATCGTAAGGATCGACTCCTTACTTTGCGAGTCAAATGCAGACGCCACTGCGTGACTACTGTAGCACTGCTCAAAATTGACACTAATGTACACTCTGGATAATTATTACAAATTGACATTAAAAACTTAGATCAAATTAAATTGAAGTAGTAGTGTGACTGGGGTTGAAGATAACAGTTGATCTTTCAGATCAGTATTTTCACAAGTTTCCACAACGGTCTACAGATGAACTGTTTTCCGAGACACCTGTTAACAAATGCTGTATACCCATACAGTAAACAATTAAATCAAAATAAGTAATGTTATATATGGAAGGTTTTACCAAAATTAAAAACAAAGATGAAGAGATAAAACGTAGTTAAATGTATTTAATGCAATTCATAACCTTTAAGGACGGTATATTGAAACAAAGTTAAACACGTTCATTTCAAAATCGATAAGTCTAAATGGAATAGAAATAACGACGTTGTTAATATGTATAATGACAATCTTATTCATTTGAATAAAATATTTACATTTTCAATTTACACTGCTATTTTTGCAAATGAAAGTAATATATGAAAATATACGTAACAGCATCTATTAAATAAAACATAGATGCCCTATGTTTTGCTCGAGTTTGTCGTACTGTCTCATTATGAATACTCATCCTTTTGTACATTTTTAAAACACTTTTCTTACATGTACTTCAAACAGAATGACTGGCTTTTGGCCACAAATTATCCCTGGAAAGAACACTATAATTTCTCGAATGTTATATGAAATTATGAAATTATTGATGGTTTTCACATATCAGTAATGTACTGATAAACTATGGTTTTGGACCTAATGGAATGATCAATTCATTCCAAAAAAAGTCTGTCAATATAGAAATTCTAAAGATCAATATAAAAAACTTTCATTTTAATTATAAATTATATATTATATGTATTACCTACCTATCCTATTTATCTCAGGGTGGAATAGGAAACAAACTATTTATTTATCTATTTCGGATTGAGGGTGCAGCGAAGTTAGTAAAAAATGCAACGGTATAAGTTTTTAGCCGACGAGAAAATCAAATATTATGTATATTTTAGTTTCTTCTAACATGTGTATTGTAAATATAAGGAGTATTTTAAATTTGAGGTTGAATTATTGTTGTGTAAATCACACAGACTTGCACGTATGCATATTTTTCAGAAAGCGCACTAGCGCTTCATGAAATTTGCCTACCTGGTGAGTCTGTGATTCACACACCCATAACTCTCACAAAAGTTATGAAACAATCCTCAAATGAATGTTAAGAAGGCAATTGTACAATGAACGTCTCAATTAAAAGTTATTGTAACCGAGCAGTAATAAGAACAGTTCACGTTTTAATCTTTATCAAACACGAATAAACAGCAATTGCATATGCCTTTGCGGACAGCACGGCCTCGAGAAGATGTGACCGTGAAAAATGGCTGGCAGGACAAGTAATTTCAATCGAACATGAGTATTTATACCCAGACCTACTGCGCAAGTGGATTGAGTTGATTTAAAAAAAAATACGCCAGTCAGGAATGATATTACAAAGATTGTTCGACAAAAGCCTTTACAAAATTTCTAGAATCATAATCACTAAATTCGATAATCGAATAAGAAATAAGTCAGTACGGTATTAGCCTTTATAAATATATGAATTAAAATATGTATTTACTTGGTCACATACTTGGTCACATTATACTATAAATGATATGTTTTTTTTTTCTAATTTTAAGACTTACGAAATAACCAAGTGTCATAGTGATTGAATTTTTCCATAGAAGGTAAATATATGTTGTTGTTCTATAGAAAGTGTTAACCGCTTTTATATGCATATCATATTTTTATTTCTTTATTATTTCCTTTGTTCTACTGTCTTTGTCTTTCATTGCTGGTTTGTTTTTCCTTATGTGTAATCCTATTGTTGGTCAACTTCCAAGGGCTCAAACACTACAAATTAACCATAAAGAAGGCAGTAATTATAAGTATGATACCATCACATTTAAATAAATAGGATTACATTTTTACATCAATAGTTTGACTCACAAAGTGTGCGATTGATGATAAAATAATTAATCTAAGAAAACATCTTACCACTTAGGTTAGTTTCTTTATGTTAAATACGCGGTCAATATCAGTGGCGGATCCACAAATTTTGAAAGAAAGAGGGGACTAGTTTGAGGTCAGGGTAGGAGCCCCAAAAACACATTGATTTATCAAATATTGTGTGGGGTTTTTTTGGACATAAAAGGGGTGAGCCCCCTCTAAAGTGAATAAGCAATTCAAACAGGATTTTTTTTTTACTTATTTAAAAAACTCAAACACTGCGACATTAAGGTTAAGGAATTAAACTTCAATGATCAACAGAAGGCATGGAGACCAAATTCAATTGTTTTATTTATACGACATTAACAGTGCAGTTTATTGTCTTGTGTTGTCAGAATATTGAACTCTCGGACTGAGATTTACATCTACTGTCTAAATACTGTGAAAATAATATTTGTTTCCCATGTAGAAAAGGTTTTATTTAATCGAAAACATAAATGTGTCATTAATTACAGTTGAGTAAAAATTTTAGTGATACAGGTTTTAAGAAATTTAAGTGATATTTATAGGTGGATAAAAATATATTAGAATACATAACAAAACACAAGTGATTAGATATTTAAACTGTTATATTCCTTGCTCCAAAAATTCAGTTTACTCTCTATCTCATGCGGGTAATTATAAACCATTACATCAATAAAGTACGGTAATTTGTGATAAAATTTCTGTAATCCAACTTTTCTTCGCCACGACTTAATTTCGCGTTTTACTAAAGTTAAACTCGTTCTCAACGATTAAGTTTCGCGATCAAGTCTTTTATATATATATTTCCATAGACACAGAAACTTATATGACCGGTTCACGGCGAAAAATATTTGAATCTTTCTATAATTTATCGCACGAGAATAAAAGTGGGTTTTACAGTAGATGGTCTGTAAGCTCATACAATCAAGACATCCACGTGTTACTTTTTGGTTTAAATTGTTTTCGGAAAATTCTTTATTTTTTTTTTAATCATTGATATTATAAAGTAAAAACAATACTTTTCATACAAAGTAATTAAACATTAGAGAACTCATTTATGTTTTAGGGCATTTAATGGAAAGTAATTTGAGCAAAAAATGTACTTATATAATATCTCTGGAGCTTATGTTGTTGGCGTTTAATATACACAATATGCATATGTTGAAACATTAAATTTTTGGTCCAGAAAGAGAAGAACTAAAAGATTTTGGTGTCTACATATAATTTTCTCTTTTATGTTAAATTTTAACATCCTTGTTTCAAGCCATCATTTTGCGATGATTAGTAGAATAATCTAGTCATAATCAGCAAATATAGTTCATCAGGTTGAATGGTGACTGACTTTTTAATACTAATAGCTAGGCCCTAAATTACATACTGAATAATCTAAAGTGTGTTTTTTTCGATTGCGGGATCGGACTGTATAAAAGAAGCACATGGGAGAGGGGGAGGGGGAGGGAATGGTGCTTATCCCCCCCCCTGGTACTTGAGCCCACCTCTTACGTTTTAGTGGCCTGCATTTGATTTACTTCAAAATTGCATTTGCCAACAGGCGTTTGAGCTTCACAACTGTTTGTTATTTCTATATTTCATGTTCATTTTTTTGTAATTCATTGTTTATAGGGAGTCAAACTGTTTGAATAAATGTTTGCTATCACAAAAAGTAACAAAACCGGTCTGACAATTAAATACTTTTAATGTTTGACATTGGTTATTATTATAGTTTTTACAAAATTTTTATAACATAATATATTCTTTTATAATTTACAACTTCATACAATCTCCTCTTAGTCTCGTCTCTGAGTTTTTCTTATGATATTTTCACAACTACGTACATATAATATCTACTTAGTCTCGTCTCTGAGTTGTTCTTCGAAGTGTCCAGATGATCGGTCTCATTCATTCGTTTTTAAATGTCCTCTATGGATTTCAGACATTTATCCAAATTTTACGAAATATCTTAATATTCACCTGCAAAAAAATAATTTAAATAAGGTTCAGTTGATATGGACAGATTGTATAAACACTACCTTCATAAAATACTTTAACACTGAGTTTAGTGTGAGTTTCTCTTTATATAACAAAATTATTCAAGTTGCCTCTGTGTCATGTACAAAACAGGGGATGTTTAAACATCCTGAGTACCTTGTCTTAAAACTTACATCTAATGTTTTCAAAAGCAAACAAGGTTTTCTATGTTCAGCCCTCAATTTCCTTTTCACTTTTAATTATTTTTTTTCAGATTTAAATATTTCACTTTCATTTATCAAACGTACCAAATGAAATGCAAAAGGGTACGCACTGCATGTAAACAATTTCTTTAACAAGGTAATTATAAGTTATTGGCAAACAAGTTGCTGAAACAAGAATATCGAAAGTCGCGTTTAAAGTAATCATTTCGTAAGTTTTACAACGATGTAATGATCTCGTCAGCAAACACAATCTATCCTTACGTCAAATGTTGACTGACATTTTACACATCAACTGTCAGGCCATTATATACATAATGAATAGTCTACAGATTATGACCCAGTATTTCACAAGTTTGACAAATGGTGCACAACGGGTTTTACCAGTCGACTTGGGATATTCATTCCTTCAAAGCACTGGATCCCTTCTCTAATGTTTAAGAGATCTGGGTCTGTTCTGTCCCTGATTTGCATTGCTTTAACAGAGTTAAAGTACTGCGTTCGTTATCTCCATTAAATAAGGTTCATAAACCCTCTGCTCACTCATATGAATTTTTTCTTTAACTTTTATGATTTTCCAAAGGAAATGTATATGCTGAATAAAATTCAAACAATTATAGCATGGCTTGCCGGGCAAAATTTGACAAAAAATGCACTTCAACTTGACAAATTTATAAGGGAATAATAGACATTTGTATCACTAAGAGTTGTCTTTCTTATCAGAGTATCAATGTTCCTTAATTTTATCCATAATACAGCTATAACATTTTAAAGTTGTAAACAAAATTGTTTAAGTAGTATTTCTTTATATATGCAAATGATCTCAATATTAATAAATAATTGAAGTTAATATTTACTTTATTGGTTTGCATCAAGATCCTGATAGTGATGTTCATCGACCCTAGTGACGTCATGCATGGCGTATTCTTTATTTCTGGTATTTAAAAAAAACATGGTTAAAAATAATTAAGTTATTAAACTTCTTACAAAATTTAATGATGAATTTGATGACTTTAACTTTTTAATCGTTAACTACCCTTACTTATGTAGCAATATAACATTTTCACATGCATATGGAGTTTATATCTCCTGGTCCGATACACAACAGCATACTTTACGTATGAATAATTTCCTAGGCTGCTGATTCCCTCTCTGATGTTTTAGAGGTCTGTGTTTGCTCTGCTCCTATTTTGTATTGTTTTAATGACTTTTGATCTTGAATAATGTTCGTTATCTCCAAATGCATCGATTTAAGTAACTGACTAACAAGTTGATGAAACGGGAATTTCAACAGCTTTGTTAAAAGTCACCACTTTGCAAGTTCAATGGACGATACAATGACCTTGCCAGCATATACAATTGATCAGTCATTTTCCGACTGGTGTTTTTTCATTCCGATTGACCGTTCAAGGAAGCTCAGTCGGTAGAGCGCTCGCTCCGTGATCGGGAGGTCGTGAGTTCGTATCTCGGCCGCGACCGACCCAGTCGATAAAATGGGTAGCAACTGTTCCTTCGCCATGCGCTCGGCACTTTGAAGTAAAAGTTGCGGGTCCTTGGGATGAGACCTTAAAAACCGAGGCCCCTTGTCAGCGGCAGGTGTTGGTACGATAAAGATCCCCCACTGCTCAATGGCCCTGAGTGCCGAGTAAAGGTCAAAATTTGAAGCCCTTCATCGGCATAAGGTGACGTCTCCATATGAGTGAAAAATTCTCGAGAGGGACGTTAAACAATATACAATCAATCATTCTGATTGTTAGATCATTATTTACACATAAAATTGTCTGGATTTGTCAGTATTCCCGGCAGGTATGACCTGTCGGTAAGGAATACCCACTCCTCCATGGCGCCTGGTACGAGCTCTGACGTATTCGAGGTACGTTTGACATCCTTAGATGTATTTTGTGAATTGACTATTGAGTTTGAATGCTGTTAGTTATTTCAATATTTCATTTTAATGTAATAAAAATAAAGTGTGATATGTAGATACATTGTACTTACTCTGATCTCTGGAAACAGCACATGCCTAGTGAAAGAAATTGAATAATCAAAATAAATATAACAAAATATCTTAATAGATTCTCTGTGATCTAATAAAAATGAACCCTCTATGAGTTATAAATCCTTACCATTTTTAATATCGTGCTTTAGGACTAAGATGAAGATTACAAGTCCCACACAGAGGATAAATAATATTGTTGAGGTTGACCCAAGTACGGGAATAAGAGCAGGTAACTCTGGAATAATATGCTTTATGATTTTATCTTTTTTTTTTATGTTTTTAAATATTGCTTCTATTTATGGCTTTAAATAATTTAGAATCATATGATTAGAAAACTTTGCATTTGTGTTTGTCTTGTATTAACAACCTGTAGAACATGCATTGGATTCACTCTGCTGTAACCCTGGACTTCCTGTGAAATAAAGAGAAATACATCTATAAATTCATAAGTCGGTCGGTACTGTAGCTTCGTCTCCCAATATTGCTTTTCCTTTTATGTCTTTTAATTTGTTTAAATTATAGCACGTTAGTTAGGTATTTTTCTTTCAAATAAAGTAATTAGGAGCCAAAATCTATAAAGCATAACCATTCAAATTTTCGGATATCATAGATTAAGTATGACGGCTATTGAAGATATATCTTCCCAGTTTAATGACCAATTCAGATTTATTATATACGTAAATGGATACTTTGAATTGAAGATTAATTAAACGAGATTACGATATCATGTATTGGATACAATTTCTCATGGCATCATTAATCTTTTTTAAAGCGAGACATAAATGATTCATAGGATGAGCATATATCTTTTATAAGTAAGGTAGCGATGGTGTTTGAAATAAATAAATTTTATAATATGATAGAAACTGATTTACAAAGTCTTGGTAAATCCGAAATTGAAAAGAACACAACAATTTTTATAGTAACAAGATGTGGTTGTGAAACACTGATGACCCGGGTGGCAGCATATGGCGAGGGTTGAATTTTCTCAAATACATGTCAAATTCCAAAGGTCGAGGTCAAAGATCAAAACTGTTGATACCCAAAAGAAGTCATTGTCACAAGAAATACACCTGTTAAATATGAAAGCCCTACTCCAAACTGCTCAAATACATCGGCAAGGTTAAAGTTTTGTTTATAAAATGGGTCAAACTCTAAGGTGAAGGTCAAAGGACAAAAATATTTATACCAACTGAAAAGTCTTGTAAAAATGAATTCACATGTCAGGTACGAAAACCATATCTCCAACTTTATAACATAAAGTTATGGCCAAGGTTTAAGTGTGGTATTTTTTTGTAAAAGTAGGTGTAACTGTTCAAAAGTTATCGGCAAGGTTAAAGTTCTGTGGCAATATGTTAATAATCAATTGTGCAATGTTTATTATCTAGCAACATGTCAAAAATCATTGTGTAATGTTCATGATCATGTGACATGTCAGAGATCATGTGTGAGATGTAAATGAGCAAGGAAATATTATTTATCAAATTTTAAGTACGTGCGTTATTATTAAGTACATAGTTACAGATGTACTTGTTTACTTTTCACCTGTCTTTCTTGAATCTCCAAATTGAAAAACATCAAACGGATGTAAAACAGTATAGTATCAATCGATCCATCAATTATCTCTTTAAAATTTTCAACAATTATTAAACATGTTCATGATCGACAATGACACATAACTTGATTTAAGTTGGAATATTTAATTTCACAGACTTATATACTATTTTTAAACTTTAAAATTAAATGAAGGTTTTTTATTTTACATTTTTGGAGTCACTTTTTACAATTTAATAAAATTGAAATTTTCTCATAATTTTCCTTTCAATAAAAAATTGAAAAAATCAATTGCAATAAAAATGTAACTCTTTTGTTTGAGTGAAGAACGTTTATTAATGGTATGTTCTTTAAAATGAATTTACAGATTGAAATAAAATAGCAATGCAGAAAAAGTTACATGTTTCAAAAATCTATCGTAGTTATAATACGACTTTTGAGCTTTTGACCTCGTCCCTTAATCCCTTACCTGAGGTTTTGTTAAGACAATGTCTGATTGTTCCAGTTTTGACCTCGTCCCTTACCTAAGGTTATGTTAACATACTGTCTGGCTGTTCCTGTTCCACAGAGACCAGAGTGTCCAGACTCACACAGAAACTGTGTATAGGTGTCACTGCTTGTAAGGTTGTAGGTGATAGTACTAGAACGGGTGTACTGACAGCCTGATGGTGAGGACTGGGAGTGGAGTGGTGTCTGTGGTAACCCTGTGAAGGATTGTGCTACAGCAGTCTTGGCACACCAACGTATCATCTAGAATTTATACAAAGAAAGGAGGCAAATTTTAAACAAACAATCAAAATTAAGGTAATTCCACCCTCCTGTGATGTCATAGGTTTCTAAAAATGTAATTAATTTCAAAGAACAGTATGTGATATTTTTATAAAAAATGTTTACTCAATGCAAATATTGTTAAGTAACAATATAAGTTGAATATTATTTTAAATCAATTATAATCTGTAAAAATATGTATACAACGGCAATAACTTTTGTAAAATTCAGGCATTTGCTGTACAACTTATGTAAAATAGTTCTAATCAACATATATTTTTTAGAAAAGGGATTATTAATTAATTCATAAATTCTGGCATTTTTTAATCTGTTTTTTTTAAAGTGGTCAACACACTTCCATGTTTTGCATCAAAGTGAATAGGTATATATATATATATATATATATATATATATATATATATATACATATATATATATATAGAAACTTGTTACCTGTCCTATGATTGAAGTTTTTGGTAATAAATTTAAAAAACCTTTATGGAAAAGTTTTGAAATCTTGGAAGAATGTGTCAGAGTTATTGTAAACATGATAAATATTGTTCAGTTACTTGAATTTAAAAAATGCATATTTTCTATCTTCAATTATTTAGGTCTGTTGAAATGGCAATATCCTTCACCTCTTCAAAATTTGGTTATTGTAAATAGTTTCATATTCACAATTTAAAGTATCTTTTAAGTAGAAAAGTTAGATTTATGCATTTTAACAGAATACATTTTTCATTATATTGTTTACAAAAAAAGTGCTTTTTTAATGTTTCATACACTTCTGTTTATTTATGTTTCATTGAAATATGGTGACATATATTTTTTGCAAACATTTCTGAAAATAAATGCAGTTAAAGAACCTATCAAATTGTAAAATTTTAAACATGAAAATCAATGCTTTTTTGTACTTTGAAATTAAAATTGTGTTAAATCAGCAAAACATATATTTTTATTAACTAATTCCTAACCTGTATTTAATTTAAAGCTAAAACAAAAAATATTTTATGGCTTAAGGAATCGGTAAATAACCCAATGTTTCCTTTAATACATTTGTATAATTTGATTCTGTCTGTACAAGGTATTATTTTCTACTTATGTAAAGCAGAGTGAAAGGAAAAGTTGAACTACCGATAGATATCGATATAATTTAGTTTTGGTAAAAAAAAATAAGCCATTAAACTATGTCATAACTTCTGTTTAAGTATAAAGATTAAAGATCAGATACATTTGAATACATTTTTTCTTTCTTGGTGCCATCTTAAATTTTTTTCAGCCTTTTTTACATAAAATATCATTGTTCACCCTTTTCTGAAACTGTTGTCAAAAGATATAATCTTAACTTAATTATGAAATAAAATGGACTCATACATTGTTTCGTGTAATGCCGAAATCTTTGAAAAAATACTTTGCTTTTTATATACACATGTAAATTGACATAATCTAATTTTCGAACATTTCTCTACTTTTTCTCGCACGAAAATTGAAAGGTTTTGTTTCATACATTTAATTCATAGAAGCTGTCTTATACATGTTAATCATCTTCGCTAATAGACTTGCTACATTTCTAAAGTATGAAAGCGGGATTTTTTTTTACATATTGCATATATATTGATAGACAATTTGAGCATTTTAACTTGTAAAAACTTACAGCACTAGGATCACTGCCTATCTGTCCTGTACAAGTTAACTGTAAAGCTGTTCCTACTTCAAACTGTCTTTCAATGGTGTCAAACTGTTGTCCAAGTATCCTCACCCTGGGCCTCTCAATCAGTTTTGGCTGAACTATAATATACAAAGAGCATCTACATAATTATGTACTCCTTGCAAAAGATAAAATGCATCAGTTGATCAGCATTAATTTGTTTTACTGTGTTATTATTATACTGCCACATTACTGAATGTACATTGACTTTGATAAAAAAGAAAAAGTGAAAAAATTGTAACCATTTACTAGTTAATTTTACATTTGTAAAGAAAATAAGTTTTGATAGCCTAGAGCTCAGTTACTGTTGATGCTCGTTTCGGCCCGTTTACATACCTCTATATGAAATTTCTACTGGATTTGATACAGCGTCTTGTTCAGGAATTGCATTTGAACTACTATCCACCGCACTCATTTTACACCTGTATTCTTTGAAATCCTCCGGACACCTCACGTTTTCTTTTGTAAAAGTTAATCTGAGTTCTGCTGTAGAAGGTGGTTTAAGAGTCCCTGTTGCTGTTGTCCTGCCTTGTAGAGATAAGTCTTGATAATTTATTTCTTCTTGAACATTGTCCAAATTCAAAGTAATAGAAACAACTTTTTCAAAGGAGACGGATGTGTTCCTCTGCAGTTCTATAAAAAACAACGACTTGACCTGTGATGGATTGCTTAAGGAGCAGACGATAGTCAGTGTATCCTCTCCCATATCTACTATCTGCCGGCCCTAAAAGTTTTTTTTTTTTTTTTTTTACATGGAAGAGCCTGGTAATGTTATTTTTTACATAGAATGCTCTTATTTTTAGAGTTAAACATTCAGTTACCAACAAGTCTTAAATGAGCCGCCCTTTAAAAGCATGTTTTTAAATTTTATTTTTCTTTACTTTATTTATGTATGTAAATTAAAAATGTTTCATTAAAACACAAATCAAGCATATATTTCCCTATACACTGAACCAAACTTCTAAGTGTTCACCTAACATTTTTGAGGTTTTAAAGAACAAATGCGAAGAATAAATAATTTCTTTAATACTTGGTTAAAGAGTCATAATTAAGTTTGATGTTGCGTAAATTTCATGTAAGTAGCTCGTCAGAATTTTGAAGAAAATGGTGTACCCTCAAAATGAAAATTCACACAAAGAAATCTCGATTGTGTAAGACCCACTACTCGCTCTAATAAATACTACAAGAAACACTTTATTGTTGGATACCATGTACCCCTGAATAGGAGATTGACCCATCTGCTGTCACACCTACATGTACTGCATAGATCCTTCCAAACCATTGAAATTGTGAGAACAAGGGGGAGGGGCTTTGACATTTCTTTTAAAATCCCAAATGTGTTCAACATGTTCAATGGGATTCAAATCCGGGAATTTGACAGTGTATCGTCACACAAATGCCTTTTGGTCATTATCCATGGGTTTTTAGCACGTTATCGCGCCGCTTTAAGGATATTTCAGACGTTTTAGCTGATATAAGACTGTCTTGAGCATGGATTTCGTATCATATCCGTACGATTAAAATTATTTGTTTCCATTTTTCTAACATTTTTTCAGGACACTTTAACACTCTTTTAACCTGGTGTGACACGAAAGTTTCTCATCAGAAGAAGATCAAGGTCACTTCCGGTGTGGTTAAATTTTGTCAAAAACTTTCAAATTGTGATAATTAGTGATTTAAAAATGATCACAGCCTATAGAAAAATGTGTTTAAATGGGTTTTGATACAATTAAGCACTAAAATAAACGTGAGTGAAAAGTGGCGCAGAGATGGTCAAGATGGCAACATTCCAACGACTCTATCTTCCATCTCAATGGTCATTTAACCAATGATGATGTTTTGTGTTTTTTACTGAAACCAGTTTTTAAAAATTGATAATGATCACAAAAAGATGCTTATTACACAAAACACACGCCGCAAAGTACAAATTTATTGTTTTTAAGCTTCGTCACGGAACACTGGTTTTCATCGGTGATATTGAATTTTCTCTCCACAATTGTTTAGAAGACTCATTGGTTGATATAATTTGAAAATATCATACCATTCTATAAAGTAGTTTTTAAATAAAGACAATTATTAAAGTGAACACTTAGAAGTTTTGTTAAGTGTATATGAATAAAAGATAAATTGTACTTTTTAAAAGTGCTACAAAAATTTTTCAATTGAAGTAGTCGCAAAATGTTTTAATAGTTCAAGAAATTAGTTTCTAAAAACGTTTTTTTTTTCGCCGTTAAGATAGGCAACGTATATGTCATCATATAATTAACATATAATTAACATGATTAATATACTTTAGATTCAAAACTTTATACTCTGGTTTGTTCTGAATTCAAGCCTATTTTTAGTTTTATTTACATTTGTTAAAGAAATACAAGCGTTTTCAAGAAAATTACACAGAATTTCCTTTTAAGATTGCACAAACGTTTCTGATGTTTAAAGTCTATGAAGTGCGAATAAACTAGCAATGTATTCCAACAAAAGAGAATCTTTAAATACAAAATAAATAAATACATATCGTTTATCTGCTTGGCACAGTGGATAAGCCATTTACTCTTAAGTCGCACAGTCCAAATGCTGTTAATGCTGAGTACATGTCTAATTTTTCACAACCCACCACCAAGTGGCAGTTTCTGAATATGAGTGAAAAATTCTTCAACAGACGTAAAATAAATAAAAACACATTTACGATAGGATGCACTTGACAAAAATAGCCAAAGTCTAAGAAGATCAGGTTTGACTGTTTTTTATCAATTTTCCCCAATATATTCCTCTATAAAATGAAAAGAATATATTGTGTTTCGCCCTACCCTAAGCCCACTGCTGTACCCCCTAGGATTCAGGATTTAAACAAACTTAAATCTGAGGATGAATCCATATATACTGAAAGGAAAAAGAGACGCAAAAGAATATAAAATGCAAAAAAAATTTGACTATGTGGCAGAAAAGTATAAAGTATAAAAATTGGTCAGATACGTATTTTGATTACTTTGCACTAAAATCACTGGTCAAAAGTACTCAACCATGAAATGTATGGCGTCAAGTGGAGGAATCGATAAAAAATTAAAAACACGTGCATATTGAAGATAATAATTTTGTGATCACAATTTGAAGTGTCATGCAATGCATTAGAGTTATAGACATCGTTATTTGCATATCTGCTTTCAGTATAAATTTCTTGCAATCATGGTATGACTGACGCAAGTAACATTGAGTCAAGTAATTGAATTCAATATTGCATAAGTGAAAATAGGTAGCAACATGTTGCTGAGCAGATTTTTTTTCAACTTTTCAAAGAATGTTTTTGGTTGTCAGAGAATGAACTTAAAAAGTTTCCAACCAACCATGACGGTGACGTTGGCGTTTAACAGCGTCAAATAAAGATATGGCTTTTCATAATACCGCCAGCTGTTATTGTCAAGGCATAATCACTGGAGGTGGTATTTATAAAGCTGATAGTAATACTCATCTTTTCACCCTAAAATTGACAGAGACTCTGTGTTCTAATTTGAGTCCCGATCTTGGCAACTTAACGTCGATTTTACTCTCAAAAGCGCACGTACACGTCGTATGCGTCATATCTTTAGCTGATTTACACTGGTAAATGTAGCTAGTGTTTGTCGATACTTTTTTACAGACATTCACATGTACCAAACCAGCTGAATTCTGTATATTCTATCCTAAATTGAAAATCGTGGGATTCATTGGGCAGGGGGATTTCTTTGCGTTGGAATAATACAGCTACTCTCAGCCATTAAAATCAACGTCGAAAGGATTGAATGAAAAAGATAAATGCTCTGGTGAACTCAATGCACAAGAAAATGAAGTTTTTTACTGATGCGCAATGGAGATTATGAGCTTTTAATTTTTATTTTAGGGGGTATCGCCTTATCAATTTTAATAACTCAGGAATTATCAGTCAAAATCATGCAAGATTTTGGTCACTTGTTGGTTATAGATGAATTAAAATGTATGATAACAATGCTTGAAAACATAATCGAAATAATTTTTTTAATACGATTCAAAGCTTAAGGTCATACGCAACGTAGTTTAAACTTTTTTGGATTCTTCTCTGGAGTTGAAGAGTTCCACTAAATGAAGGACTTGTGTGTAAAATTTTTTAATCTCTATATATGGATTTGTACACCTCTTCTAAAACAATTTTCGAGGTAAGAAATCTGTATTTTTGTACATTTGTATTCGAATAATACAACAATTTTCAAAATTCGATATCTTTTCAAAACCCCTGGTAACACATGCTGATTTTCTGTCAAAGAACATATAATGATATTATAAGTTTAAATTTAGAATATCTTGGAAAAATATCAGAAGTTAATGTACGTTGCATATGTCCTTAATATGCGTTTCGTTTTCCCTTCAGTATACAGATAATTTATCATGACTTTGTTGTTCTTATGAAAAAGACTTTTAAAAGTTTATTTTACCTCTTTATTCTTTTGGAAAACTTTGGCCATTTTGGCCCAAATGAAACCCAATAGGTCCTACTTTGATTGATTAGAATCTACAATAGACCTAAAGAGGCTTCGGTATAAATATAATTATCGACTGCTTTACTGTCCTTGAGGTGAAGAGTTTAAAAAGAAATATTTTTTACACTTTGTTTGCCTATAATTGGTCCCCTGAGAGTGGTAGGATACAGTGGAGGGATGAACCTCTGATTGATGTGTTATATCCATTGCATAGCGGCGCAATTGAGAAATATCTTAGGCACACTTGACACAATGCTGCATTTCGTCTAATCTCGACGCAAAATGTGAGAACAAAAAGTGCAACGATGCAAAAATTCTATTATTACAAGTACATTACATTGCTTTGATTCCTTTTGTGTTACAAAATGTAACAAACCAAAATGTAATCATCATAAAAATCTGGTATTGCACTTTGCATTATCACATTCGCTGTTGATCTCAACTCATGTATAACCCAAATTGTAATAATCCCTGTTGCTATTACATTTTGTGCTGTAATGATGCACTGTAATTCTTATCATGAAGTTTTCGTGGGAAGTTTGTGTGCAAAGAATGTTTATATCATTATAAAGATTTTAAACGTACATGTATATAGTCTCCATATTACTTAAAATAAAAAAAAAAAATACTCATCTCTATTTCAACTCTATTTAGAAAGGAACCTTAAAATTTTACATCTTGAACAAAACAAAAACAAGAAGAATTCCCCAAAAAACAAATAATGAGTAAATGCTTCAATTAATTTATTAAGATATGATATTTAAATTCGAATTCAGAAGTCTGTGACTAGAAGACCAGAAAACAGATTATATGAGCTGTTGTTTTGCAGTCTCCAGATAATATTAGTTATCCAGGTTCAATCAAGGGTGTACGGGGATTTACCCCGGGTTTTATTCCATACACCCTGAGGCCTTCGGCCTCAGGGTGTATGGAATAAAACCCGGGGTAAATCCCCGTACACCCTTGATTGAACCTGGATAACGAATTTATTTCCTTTGTACCCATAAAAATGCTTTGTAAACATTAGAGTGTGTATCGATTAGATAACTACGTACTACAATGCATCGTGACGTCATGTTATTTAGCTTTTATCATAGAGAATGTATGCATTGTGACGTCACGTTTTATTTACACCCGGCTCAAGTTGGGTGCACGGATATTTACATCCGACTTTGTAACCAATCAAAGCTCGTGTTACAAGCTAGATAGGAAATAATATTTATGT